TCTCTCTCTCTCTCTCTCTCTCTCTCTCTCTCTCTCTCTCTCTCTCTCTCTCTCTCTTCTTTCTTTCTTTCTGACAGTACTGGGGATGAACCTAGGGTCCTGTGCCTGCACGCTTTCTATCCCTGAGCCCACCCACATTGTCTTGCTGGGATTTAGGAATGAGTCTTTGGCTGAAGGAACCCAGGGAGAGTATTTAAGTCCCTGCAGAAAGAGCACTGGATAGTGAGACTGACACTTTTAATTTATAACTCTCAACTACTGGCTCTCCATCAGCCAGAGTTTTGTCTGCGCTCAGACCAGTCCTGGCTGTGTGGAGTGTGTTTTCTGCCCTTTTCTGCATTGGTTCTTAGCTACTTTGCTTGTCCAGAGGCCACTTGCAATATTAATCCCCAACTCCCAGTTCAGCATGGACTTCAGGAGAATGCTCTCTGTTCTGTAGGCAGAGCAACACTGGACTCCAGCAGCCTCCCACTGGGACAGCATTGATGTCATCACAGGGAGCCTGCGTCTAGGTCCCTTCCTCTGTGTGACCGCCCTGTTCCTGGCGCCTGCTTCCAGTTGGTGGAGGATCACTTTGTACAAATAAAATCTGGGAGAGACTAGGTCCCCCGCTCACCTCCCCTTGATCCCCAGGCCTATCCCAGTGAGGTGTAAAGATTAGATGACATTTACTGGCTTCCAGGATGAAGATAGGAGATGCATTAGAGAGTGCTGAGTGTAAGGTTTGGGGAATGATCAGATGCCATTTCTCTTCTTGGAGATGTCTGGGGCTTCATAGGTTGCCAGAGTGGGAATATCCCACTTGAGTCCCCTGGGGGCTTGTTGAGAATGACCTCTTCCCAGGGCTGCTGTTTGCTCCTTTCCCCAGCACAGAGAGTCCCCTGCTGCTGTTGTCTTAAGTAGAATGTGACAGCGCCTCAGTTCCCACCAACAAGCTAGACCTCCCTGCCAAAATTCAGTCCTAGCAGTTAGAAAAACTCCACCCCTGGTACATTCCTGTGGCAAGCAGCAGGACTGCTCAATAGCAGATTCCAAACTTTTTGATAACACACATTTCCCTGTAAATACATTCCTGAGCGTTCACCCCAACACAAGTATGTTCACCTACAGACTGAACTGTTTAAATATGTACATGAAGAAAAGCAAACATTTAAGTGATGACATTTATAATTAAATAAACAGAGGTCAGACTATGTCCTTCCTACACCTCAATTTGTAGACCCTCCCCCGTTAGTCTCTCCAGATCACTGCCCATTGTAAATGAATACACAGACAGCGCTGGAGGGTTTGTTTCACATCTCTAGTTTTCTTTTTGGTAAACGGCTTATGCTTTCTCTTGGGCCGCGCCTATCTTGGATTGCACCTTGGGAGCTGGGTGCTAAGGGACGCGAGTGTTCTCAAGAACAGGGCAGTAGCAGAGCTGCAGGCCATGATGACCCTGCTCTGGTTGCCCTCTGCTGACTTTGGTGGTTGGGGGTGGGGTAGGAAGAACAGCGGAAGTGTTGTATGATGTGTTCCTCTCCTGTGACCATCTTGGCAAGCAACCAAGGAGTTAGAAACAGGCGGGCGTGAGTTAAGGGCTTTTTGAAAAAAGAGAACTGTAAATGGAAAGGAAGTTCAAAACCTTGTCTTGTTGAGCTTGGTTTCCCGGTGTTGGGTAGGGAAATAACCCTTCACATTTATCGGGGAGAGGGTTTAGAGAAAAGATGACTCTGCTGTCCCTTCTGCTGTGTACAGACTATCAGAGTTATTGAGACAGTTAGAGACCACCAAGGGACAGAAGATTAAAACCCCAAGGCCTTAGCCCCTGACCTGTCATCTATCAAAGGAATGGTACAAAGAAAGCATGGAAAAACACCAAGGCCTTAAGTCACTAACCTGTCAATTCCTTCAAATTGGCATGCGTTTGTCCCCCTTTTCTTTCCTCCTTCTCTATTATACTTTTCAACTATCTTATAGCCAGGGAGTTGTACTATGAAAATGGAAATATTGGTGTCAGAACATCTCCAAAAGCTAGGTGCAGTGGTGCACACCTATAGCCCCAGCAACTTAGGAGGCTGAGAAAGGATCACAAGTTCAAGGCCAGCATAGGCCACTTAGTGAGACCCTGTCTCAAAAAGGGCTGAGGATATAGCACAGTGATGGAGTACCCCTGGTTCAATCCCTAGGATTGAAAAAAAAATCTCCAAGGATAAATTAAATAGCTACTTATCTGTATCTTCCATAAGGAAGACATTCCTTGAAAAATCACGACACATGACTAGTAGAAAATGACCAGACTCTAGTCCTAGCTTGGCAACTTGATAAAAAACTGGATCCTTCCATTGGGGAGCAGGCTGATCTCTTTCTCTCAGTGCTCTGTCAGGTAACCCTACCCCTCATTAAAGCTTTGCCTATGTGTTCATATTCCTTGGCTTGATTTCATTTCTGCAGTTGCCGGGTCAGAAGTTCCCGTGTCTGGCATCATCATGAAGGATCCTGGTAAGATCCTGGAACAAGGGGATGACTGGAAGAAAAAGGACTCAGAGAGAAGAACTGATTTGCTGGAGATCTGGCCAGCTGTAAACGGTACCTGTTACCCCAGATTCCTGCCTTCCCATCTAGGACTGTATGTCAGAAGAACCCACTTTCTGAGCATGTCCTATCTGTCCATTTGCCTTCTCACCAGTGTCTGCCCACAGAGGCTGGGCTGGGCATCAGAGTCAGGGTTCTGATGTGACCTCCAGCGGCCTTCAGGGAAAAGGCAAAGGGAAGGCAAAGGGATAGTCACAAGGACTGAAGAGGGTCAAGATGAGGAAAGGAACCTAGGCCTTCATGCCTGGGAGATGTGCGACTGAGCCCCTCTCCGCCTCAACCTTGGGTAGGAAATGGGCTTAGATGAATAGATCACACTAATGTATATTTTTTTCTACCTCAAGTTTCTTTTGTTTATTGGAAAAACTCCTTGGAAAATGTTATCATTCTTTCATCTGAACTAAAGAGGAAAATGAAAGGAATAGGCTTATGTAGAACATAAGCTCTGGTGGGGGAATTAGGGTAGGATTTCAGAATGGCTTAAGAAATCTTGGAGGGAGCTCCACTGGTACCTAGCCAGCAGAGGGAGGCTGTGGTGGCCCTCCCCAAAGTGAGATTCCCTGGCAAGATGATGGAACTGAAGTTAGCCCCTCTGAGGGTGAGTGGGTGGGGTGCTGCTCTCCACAGGCCTGGCCCCCAGGGACAAAGGGCTGGAAGTGCACAAGAAGGTTTGGCAGCGCCAGCTGCCCGGTCAGCAGTGAGTTTTCTAGTGGCCTCCCAACTCAGCCCAGCAGCAATCTGACCCTTGTTCAGAATGTAACGGGGCTCACTTGAGGCATCTCTTTTGGCACCTCCACAGTCAAGCGAGGTGTAAATTGTACTGACCTTGGGGAGCATGGCTTCTCCTGACACCCAAGGTCTTCCTTCTCCTCAGATGCCAGGAAGGATGTGACCAAAGCCTGGAGCTTCAGTTTTCTCAGACCAGGTCTGTGGCGGCCCCAGTTTTGTTTTCTCCCTTCACAGAGTCTTGGGGAAAAGGCATTTTGCAAAGCCCTCTGGGAGCTCAGACCTCTGAGCTGCCCAAGGCCAGCTATGGCTTTGAAACTAAAGATGGCCAGGGATCCCAAAGTACCAGCATGGCTTAGAGAAACATTCAGAGATGCCTAGGGTGTGGTCTTGACTTTGGAAACCTGCCTGGTGGACAGTGATGGGAAAGGAGTGTGTGATGACCACAGAAGAAACTTGCAAAGGGTAAGTGTCACCTCCTTGAAGACATGAAACACAGATCAGAAAACAGGAAGGGAACGTAGAAACAGGCAACGTTTTCTGAGATAAAGACCCCACCACCACCACCACCAGTGCCTCATATTTGGTTTTAGAATCAACTCAATGGCTCTGTCTCCAACACTGCTCCAGATCTGATTCCTGGGGATTTCAGGACCTATCCTTTTAACCCTGTGGGGCCTTGCCCATCCTGGCCCACCACTCGTCTCATACCTTATTGTCCTCCCCAGCTTCAGTCACCGGACCCTGAGTCTCTAAAGCAGGAACTGCAACCCCTGTATGATCTGAATTGTAAGCGTCCTACTCTCAACACCTCCATATCAGAGACGCCTACTTGGCCACCAAAACTGTTATCCCATGTATTGTGTAGTTATCTCTGAGAAGTGGCTTCCCAGCCAGGGACATTTCCCAGCCCCCTTACTGTAGACCATGAGACTAGTTCTTGCCAATGAAATGTGAGTAGAAATGGTGGGAATCACTTTTTGGTCAAGACCTATATGCAGATGATCATGGGACCCTTATGAAAAAAAACCTGCATCCCTGATTCAGTGCTCAGAGAACTATCTGCTAAATAGGGACACTTGTTTTCAGTTCTTACACTAGTGAGAAAGAAACATCCATTATTTCTGCGATCTGTCTGGTTCATCTATTAGTCTATCCTAACTATAATATAATCTTTACTCCTTTAATCTCACTTCCTCTAATAGTGCAACATCAGCATTTTTGTTCGTTTGTTTTTTGTATTAGGAATTGAACTCAAGATCCCTTTACCTCTGAACTACATCCCTAGACCTTTATAAAAAAATTTTTTTTGAGACAGGGTCTTGCTAAATTGCTGAGGCTGGCCTCAAACTCGTGATCCTTTTGCCTCAACCTCCCCAGTCTCTGGGGTTATAGATGCTCAGCAAACATCAGCAATTCTGCAGCACCACTGAGCTCTATGCTCCATTATCCTACCACTCTTCTGCTATCAGCACCCCTCTGGTGTTAAGCACTTTTTTTCATGGCCATTATTTTTTTTTCAAGTTTTTATTTGTTCTTTTTAGTTACATATGACAGTAGAATGTATTTTGACATTATACACACATGGAGTATAACTTCCCATTCTTGTGGTTGTTCCATGGCCATTATGATGCTGACTCTCTTGCATACTCAACCGAATCCCGAATCCTCTTTCCCCCGATTGCACCTACGTGGCAATACCCAACCCTGGTTAAATGAAGTTTCCAGCCAGGTGTGGTGGCACATGCTTGTAATCCCAGCACCTTAGGACGCTGAGGCAGGAGGATCATAAGTTCAGAGCCAGCCTCAGCAATTTAGTGAGGCTGTAAACAACCTAGTGAGACCCTGTCTCAAAATAAAAAATAAAAAAGGCTGGGGATGTGCCTCAGTGGTTAAGTGCTCCTGGGTTCAATACCTCATTCCAAAGAAAGAAAGAAAGTTTCTTCCCACTCAATGCCTGCAGAGTCACAGAGAGGTCTATGGGGGAAATGGGAACTATGAGACTTGCACTGCATGGCCACCACCAGGAAATGCTGCCTCCAATTAGCCTGGCAATTCTACTGACTTCCCTCTTTTACTCCATCTCCCATTTCTGGGTGATTAGCACATATCTTTTTTAAAAAAAATATTTATTTTTTAGGTGTAGATGGACACAATGCCTTTATTTTATTTACTTATTTTTATGTGGTGCTGAGGATCAAACCCAGGGCCTTACCCGTGCTAGGTAAGTGCTCTACTATTGAGCTACAATCCCAGCCCCAATTAGCACATACATTTTTCTTCTAAAACCTCTAGACCTTTTCCCTCCTCATTCTCAATTGATAATCTTACTAGTTTCTAAGACCCACCTATCGTCTATTCTTTTTTTTTTTTTGTATCAAGAATTGAACCCAAGGGCATTTAACCACTGAGTCACATCCACAGCCTTTTTTATTTATTATTTTGAAACAGGGTCTTAGTAAGAGCCTCACTAAATTGTTGAACCTGTGATCCTCCCAAGCTGCTGGGATTATAGGCATGCACCACCACGGCTGTCATATTTTTAACAATCACAAAGCACACTCCTGCTTCAGGGCCTTTGTTCCTGTTACCTCTGCATAGAAAATATTCCCCTCAAATCTCTGTTATGATGCTCAAGTATCACCTTATTTGTGAGGTCGTCATGGAGTATCCTTTTTGAAATAGGAAGCTTGCATGCTTCCTACCCCAGCACTTTCTATCCTCTTCCCTGTGTTATTTTTGGCATAGCATTTATCACCACCTGACATATTATATACTTTACTTGTTTATTTATTAATTGTCCAACTCCCTTTATTAGAATATACCCTCAATGAGGGCAGTTATTTTTGCTATTTTATTCATATCTATAACTCTGGCACCTTAAACAGGGCCTGGCACATAAAAAGCACAAAAATAAATATTGTGGGAGGAAAAAGGAAGAAAGAAAGAAAGAAGGGAGGGAGGGTGGCAGAGAGAGGAGAGGGAGGAAGGAAGGAAACTTGCTTCCAGGGATGAGACTCAGCTTCCCAAACCTGAAAGTCACAGGACAGTTCACAGTGAAAGAGGGTTCAAGTCAGTTAGATCAATTATGCTGAAGTCAGCAGCTGGGCCCTCCCTCTTCTATCTCACTGTCTCATGTTCTCCATGGCAAGGATGTAGTCTCTTCCCCAGCCCCTCACTAGTTTGGAAGTTCTCCTCTAGCCTTTGCCAAATTTTGTGCCCAGGACACCATGCCTAAGTACTGTACAGATAGACATAAATCAGTTACCAATGCCAGCTTCCTCCTGCCTATTCAGCCATGAAGAAGCCTTGCTTGACTAAAAGCTCATTGTTAGCCAGTTGCATTTTATTTTGATGTTGCAAATTAATTTCTGTCTGCTCTATTTCCCATGTATGCTCAAGGCATCCTCCCTTGGTCCCTGGGCCTGCTCTGAGTAAGATGAGGAGTTCAGAGGAAGACAGTCCTGGCACCTTGAAGGATCTTTGGATGAGTTTCAGGGACTCTGCAAACTCCCTGAACTCTTTTGATGTGTTTTTCCTGGGGCGAGAGGCCACATCTTTATAGGGGGTCCCTAGCTGTCTAAAGATTATGATGCAGATTTGTTCAACTTCTCAATTTATAGATGGAGGCTTTGAGAAGTGAACTGACTCCCTTTAAGTAAAGGGATAGATCTGGGATTTGAACTCAGGTCTTCTTTTTCCAAGCAGCGAATAGACACATGTACTTTGCACAGTGTCAAGGGTGTCCTTAATGCCTGTCACCTCTGGGATACCCCTGGGTTGAACCACTGGCTGGTGGCAGATGTCTGCAGTGTGTGGCGCTGCCATACACAAATATGTGTGGCCAGGGATTGTCAGAGGCTATCTGCCCACAGTGTCCTGCTCTGCAGGCAGAAGCCAGAAGCCTGGTGAGTGGTGAGTGCCCACCCCCGGGGTTCCATAGAAGCCAGGAGAGTTGGGGAGCCAGCAGAAAGAAGAAGTAGGGGTAGTTCTCATATCTGAACTAGTTCTCATTCCCTCTGCCTATGATATATTCTCTGGGCTTCTTAGGTTTTTCTGCCTAATTGCCTCAATTTAAGACATGAATAATAACTTCTGCTTCCCCTACTTCTTCTTTCTTTTTGTAGTGGGGATTGAACCCAGGGGCACTTAACCACTGAGCCATATCCTCAGCCCTTTTTAAAATAGTTTATTTAGAGACAGAATCTCACTGAGTTGCTTAGGGCCTCAGGAAGTTGCTGAGGCTGGCTTGAACTCACTATTTTCCTGCCTCGGCCTCCTGAGCTGCTGCTCCCCCTGCTTCTTCAAACGGACAAACTTGGCCAATTCTCTGTTCTTGAACAGCTTCTAAAAACCCAGTGTCTTCAGAATGCTATGAGGTAGAGAGCTTTCCAGCCTATATGGAGATGGAACTCTTGGCTTCCACTCCTGACTTGGAAGTACAGATTCACATTTCGATTTATCTCTTCCAAGGCACTTTGGATTATCTTGGCAATCCTTTCAATTACCCTACTATATAAATGCTCATAATCACCATTTCACAGACAAGAAATTGAAACTGAGTGGTTAATTGACTTGTCCAAGGTCACGGAGCTGCCAAAGTGAGTGCTGGGAATGGAGCCCAGATCTTTGCCTCCAAGTTCAGAGTATCTTTTCTCCTACCTCTTCCTACCCTGGGAGTCCGTGGGCCTCTGGTTTGTGGTCCTTGCATCCTTTGCACTTAGGACTTTAAGATGCCAAAAGCTGGGGTTTGAGTGGCTGTGTTAAATGTTTAATACAGCCCTGCGGCTGCTTCCGAAGATCACCACGCAGAAGGAAGGAATCTGGCTTCTACTCTCGGTCTCTGGTCTGCACGTTCAACATGATGTACACCTGTGCATGGGTCCCAAGGCCACCCAGGTGAGCCACAGAGACCTCAGCCAGGGGCAGTTGGGATTGGGGTGGGCAGTAGGGCATCCTGGGGTTACCTCCCAGCTTGAGAATGCCTCTTCACAGAGACTGTCTTGGAGGGGAATCAAGTGCTTCTCCCAGAAAGGCTCCATGTCCATGGAGCTCCTTCTCTGAAAGGCCAGGATTTCCCCCTGGGTGCAGTAGGGGTGTTGGGGTGGGTCCCAATGCTGTGGCACTGTCCATGGAGAGGCCAAGTGTCACTGCGTTGATCAATACTTAGCCTCCCAGTGGCCTCAGCTTTTCATTTCCCCTTCTCCCACTGCAGATAGCTGCCATCTCACCCTTCATTTCCTGCCCAACTGTCCACTAACACATCAGGTCCTCCCAGTTCCAGTGAAGACATTTTTTTAAAGGTAAAAATAAAAACATAATTTTTAGTCACTATAAATGCCCACAAACACTAATCACTGACTTCTCAGATAAAAAGCAGAAACCCAGCAGACACTTGAGCAGTAAGGAAGAATTCAAGGACGCAGGTGGAGGCTCTGATGAGTGATCTGGCATCTTAAGTACCCATCCCATAAAACATCATAAAGTCACTAAGCTGGGCAAACACCTAAGGAGGTACATACAGTTGGGGAGATAGGGAAATTTTTCCAAAATCCCAGCCTCCCAACCCTTGGTATCTGCCAGGACTTACCTTCCACAGTGGGCAGGAGCTGGGGAGTGGGACTGCCCACCCACTGTTTCAGGGAAGCCTCAGGCTGTTCAGTATCTGCAGGGCTGGCTTTTTCCACCTGCAGCTTGGAGCCTGAAGCCACCTCCAGAGTTGTGGCTGCCTCCATGCTGGGCCACCCCAGGCTGGGCTCCAGCGGAAGATTTTCACTGTTGGTGGTGAGGGAGGGGCTGTGCCTCTGCTCCCTGGACTGTCCTCCTGGGTACCAGTCATAGGCTTATGTAAGTGGGCTGGCCTTTCCCTACCCACCTACTCACAGCAGAGGGTGAAGCTGGGGCTAGGGGAAGAGAGAAGGATCAGAGAGCAGCCCAGAATAGCCACAAGAGGTGGCCCTGTTATCTTGGGAGAGAGATGACACCCACATAGCTCTAGGGAGGGAGCGGGGGAGCTTGAGCACAGACCATCCAAAAGGGACCTCTGGCTTCGGTTGGGAGGATTGGATGACATCTCAGCTTCTGACCTCCAGCTTATCCAACAGGGCTTCAGGCCCCAAGACCAGCTGACCCACAGGCACACCTTTAGCTGCTCCCACATTGAGTCCTGTAGTCTCATAACTCGCCCTTCACAGGGCCCTCCCCATCCTCTCTACTTGCTCCCTCTCTTTGCCCTAGCCCTGCCCCCAGAGCAGGGCAGTGCCCTGGTGGAGCCTGCACACTGCAGAAGCTACAGACCGCTACCCAAAGACCCAGAGTCTAGCTGGGCTCCGTCACTAGCTAGCTGTGTGACTTGCCACACACCAGGTGCTAGGGGTGGAACCTAGGGTTTAGCATATGCTAGGGAAGGGCTCTACCACTGATTTGCACCCCCAGCCCTGACAGTGTCTCTTAAGTCTATTTCCTCATCTGTAAAGTGGCTATAGTAATAACTACAGGGTCGTCGTGTGGATTAAATGAGCTAATCTCTGTAAAGTGTTTAGCAGAATGTAGTTGACTAAGTGCTTGATAAATGGAAGCTATTTTAGGTCAGGCCAGTATTTTCCTCCCTTTGAGAGTGTCAGTGGCTCCCTCCCTATGAGATAAAGCACAAATGAAGTGAGAGGCAGCAGGGCAGAGGGAGGAGAGGTGTGACTTCTGGCTGTACCGCTCTGTCACCAGCTGGTGGCTCAGAGCTGCAGGCCTATGAAACAAGAGTTGCTGATACCATGATCATATTGAGGACAAAATGATAAAATGCAGGAAAGTGGGTGCCTGTGATAGGTGTGGGTGATGCATTAAAGGCCCTGCCTGGTTTCTGGGCTCACCCACCTGCGGTTTTACATGTTGTTATGTTCCATTCAGAATATCTGGTTTTCGATCATGTTCCTGCTTTCCTATCTCCAGAAGACAGCATTCCGTTTGTATTAAAAAACAAAACAACAACAACAAAAAAACACATTTTTAGAGTGGTTTTAGGATCATAGCAAAGTTGAGTGAAAGTACAGAGTTCCCATGTATCCCTCCCTTACCCCTATATTTTTTCCATGGGGAGAAAAATCATTGTGGTCGACTGAATAGGCTCCTTATTCATTTTAGCCTCCAACTAGGGGGCACCTGGTAGGATCCCAGGAACTCTTACCATCTTGGGGTGACAGGAGCCCAGTTTCTTTGAACTCTGGATAGTCTGTGGTTCAGAACAACCTATAGATGTGCTTTGGTGTCAGGAATCTGTTCATCAGGGGCTGGGATGGCTGAAGAGGGCAGCTGTGGAGGTTGACCTCTGGGTCTGGTTTGTTTGGGAAAAGGTTAGACTTGTGTCATGTCAGAGAAGGTCTGAAGGTCTCTGACCTTTTTCTTATCCAACCTAGCACAGACCCCTAGAAATTGTAATCTCCCAAACCAGGGAACCCACTTTTTATACCTCACTCAACCATATTTTGGTGAGGAAGCTGGAACAGCTTTCAGTTCTAACCTTTTGTAGCAATGAAGGTGTAAAGAATCACATTTAAACTGCAGATTCCTGGGCTGGGGATGTAGCTCAGTGCTTGCCTTGCATGTATAAGGCCCTGGGTTTAATCCTCATTATTGCAAAGATAAAATAAAATGCAGATTCCTTAGGTCTGCCCAGTAGAAATTCTTATCAGTCTGGGTAGAATCCAGGAATCTGCATTAAAAAAAACAAAAACAGAAAACAAAACAAACAAAACCAAAAACAAAACAAAAACATATTTTGGTGCAGTCTTAGCTCATTATGGTAGGATTCCTTAATCTATTCCAGATAATCTCATGAGACAGAACTCTCTCACCAGAGGGTGGTCTCTTCAAGCACAGGGCTTTGCCCTGTCATCTCCAGACCAAGATGCTGGAGCAGTAATGGAAACACTGCTCTGGAATGGCAGGGTGGATGGCTAAGGGCTCAAGGTGAGCGGCAGGAACCCTCCTACAGGCAACATTTGCAAGACTGGGAGTCAGAGTAGCAAGTGAAACCTAAGGGAGGACCAAAAGCTATCAAAGTTCAACTTCCAGTGTTGTCATTTGTCAACTCTGCTACAAGGAACAGAAGTTGGGAGAGCAATGATGTGTTGCTGTGTCCAGAAGCAAAGGAAACTAGAGAAGGTGTGTGGGTGGATCTGCCAGATTTCCTGAAGGTGAGAACAAGAGCGTTGGTCTCACAAACTCTGTAGGAGGTGGATCTTTTCAAGCATGAAAAACAAGAAAATGAAGGACAAGAAAGTTGGATAATTTTTAGCAGAAACAACTCACTTTTGGGGGGACTCATTTTCCCTATAAAGTATCTAATACCTTTCATAAATGCACAGTCCTAGCTCTTAATATATATATATATATATATTTTTTTTTTTCTGGTAGCTGGAGTTCGGTTCTCAAAGCTAGAAAACTGGAAAAGCTATCCTATTAACAAACCATAGTTTAGTCATCTCAGTAGATCAGGTAACAAAGTCCAGTCTGTTTTATTTCTAACCCAAATATTGCAAATATACATAAAATTACCAGTACAAAGTTAAACACATCCAGATTTATTTACACAATGATAAAGAAATTTCAGTTTTATTTCCATTTTGTGGAATTGCATTATGGGGGTCTGGCTTTGCTGTGTAACTGACATGGGTCACTGAAACTTGATTATTCCACCTCACATGCAATTTTCTGTCCCAAAGGAACAGAAAACTTGGGTTTTTCAGCACACATGCAGTAATGATCTTAATACTGCTATACACTTTCATAGGATGGCTTGGGAAGGGACCACATGCTCAGAAAGGGAACAAGAGACCAGAGAGGGATGAACAGGCACATGGGGACCCTGAGCATTTCTGTGCACGAGGATAAGGAGAGAATGACCCAAACCCTCCTCCCTGGAGGCTCCAACACAGGAGGTGAGCAGAACCGCCAGGGGACAAAAAGTCACTTGACCACAATTGAGGGCATGCGGAAGATGAGAACTGCATTAAAGATTTGGGGCATATCAATAAATCATTAACATGTACACTATACAGTTTATACATGTATATATGTACACACATATATATATAAAGGTACAGGTTAGTTTATGTTATTCCATATAAACAAGGACGCTTGAGAATGTACTGGTGTGAAAAAAATGCATACAGCAAATTATTGAAGACAATTTCAAATTAATGCTCTAGTTCTTATTGTTATGAAACATAACCGAGAAATCTACATGCTCCTGCTGTTTCAGTTATCCCTCATGAGGGCAGGGCCTGGGCTCTGCAAGGGCAAGATGATGCTCCAGGAGCTGCCTGCACTAGGCAAAATAATGGCAGATGGAACAGAAAGTCTGGCACCTGCGGACTCTGGCCCTCCCTGTCACTACCTCATATGGCAAATCTCAAACTTTGGTTTGTTCAAAGGACAGTTAAGTCCATGTTAACTTTCCTCCTGGAAGGAAGGTGGTAGAAAGCTGAAAAGTTGCATTCCTTCCTATTTTAACAGTTCCAAGTACCCTGGCTTAACATGGAGATGAGAGGGCTGTGCTGACAAGGAGCTGGTGAGGTTTTAGCCTTGTGTAGAGGGCAGGGCCCTGCAGAGCGCTCCTAAAGAAAAGAGAGGCATGCTCTATCAGGCTAGCTTGCCTAGGAAATAATCAAGTGACTGAAGCCTGTTACCCTGGGACTAGTGTGGATGGCCCTCTGCCCCTCTCTGCATCCTGGTGTCTTGACACAGGCTCTGGGATGTTTACAGGCCCAGTGCAGGAGACAGAGGGATGCACTGATCCCTGATGCTAACCTGTCAGGGATGAAAGCCCATTTGGGGGCATGCAGAGACCCATAGGAAAACCTAAATAAGAGAAAGAATATTCAGGGGCAGGCAGCAACCACAGAGTTTAGTTATAGGGACTCAGCTGTAGTTCCTGAGCCCACCCTTCAGCAGCCAAACTCTTCAAAGGCTTCTACTCTTCTGAGTAGTGTCCCTGATCAATTCACAGCTTAGGCATATTCAGTCCTGGTTTCTGGTCTTGGTAAAAACCAAAAGTTCCCTACATCTTAAGTAGGAAGGACATCGAGTTTTGGATTTAAGAGCTCAGATGACTTAAGACTGTCTGACATGTCCAACCTACCTAACACTGCTAGATTCTACTGTTCAAGCCTCCAGAAATAATTTCTTCTGCTACCATCAAGCCTAGGAGTTTACACAACAATATGCTAGGTTTTACCTTCAAGTAAAGGACGATGCTCCTACCCTGAGTAGGACAAAATAGCGCTTTTGTTTTTTAATTTTAGAAGCTATAATGGATTTAGACTGTTTTACTTTCTGGCCGAGGGCACATACTTGTGACTGAGTGGGCTGACATCGAAAGTGAACTGGCCAAAAAAGGCCAGGCTTGCAGACGGTCCTCTAGCCAACAGAGCCAGCCAGGCAGGGGTGGAAGCAGCAGGCAGGAGAAGGGGGCCTTCCATGAGACTCACTTCTGTTTTCCTCAGTAGTGACCCTTCACTAGAGGAGGGGTCTTTCCTGACACACATTCATGATTACCATTACTTTTGTTTCCAGCCATAAAAAAACAGGAGAATAAACTTTTCTGTTTCCCCAAAAGAAAATAAAAAGGTGCTAAGTAATGCTCTGAAAGAAATGACACTGATTTCTGTCCTCAAGAACAGCAAGTAATCTATAAGAAAGAAGCCTGTGTCAAGCACTCAGAACCTGCCAGCTTGGATGATTCTCCAGAGTTCTGAAGACAGCCGACCAGCGCTGCTCCTCACGCACAGGGACCCTGAACGACAGACTCAGGTTTGCTTCCTCGCTCCACCACAAGAATGTGTGTGTGTGTGTGGGTGCTCTGAAAATTGCCAAATTCTACAGAAATCCCAGGTATCATAAGCAAAGAACCTTAATGTTATCTGTTCAGAGAAGAATATCAACTTTCCTACATCTTAAAACTAATATGAGGATTATTGTGTATTGGCATACCTACCCCCATCTATCTGGGTAAATGCTGGGAGAAAGGGCATGTGGTGTTAATAGGTGTTTTCTGGGCACTGAATTCACTTTGAGCAGGAGTTGAGGGTGGGACAGAGGCTGACACTTTCATCATTTTTGAGCTGGTGATCTTTGGAATCATTTTAAAATTTAAAACCACGCAAAATGAACGAATTACAAAATGAATAAATTCTAGCCCTCACAAATATTAATTCTTATAAAAACCAAAAAAACCAAAAAACTGCCCTAACTTCACTTTCTAGTTGAAACTCCCTGACTCATGTAATTTTACTGCAATTTCAAAGTCTCAAAATTTTCTATCCACTTCCTCCTCCTCTGTCCTTGCTGCTGCTCATCCATTCTGGAGAGGAAAGAACTTATCCATCTGCTCTCACAATCTGACAAAAGTTAATTTGGCACATTTACTTTTTACTGTCTTTCTAGCCACAAAATGAACTAGCAGCAAAATGGCATCTTACTGAAGAATGTCCTAATCATAATTATCAGGAGAAACTTGTGACCAGCACAACAGGTTTGGTAAGACCAAAGACTGATCATACTATATTACTGTATAGCAAATATCCACGCTGTATTAAAACTAATTATTCCATTACTATCCGGCCACCCCCAAGTCCACCCAACTGCATTCTAGAATTTGTTTAATTTGGGAAAATGTCAAATGGAAAACTTCCTTAAATTTAAAATATGATCCCAAAGTATCCAGATTGGAAGTGTGTTTTTGATTGGTTCAGCCAAAAGTTTCATGCCAACAAATGATTTGGCAAAGCTGGGGAAAAGGGTGAGAAGGAGGGCCTGGTCAGAAAAATTCTGATTTAAAAAAAAAAAAGTCTATAAATCTGAAGACAACTCTTGTTCTGGCTCCACGTACAATAGTAACCAAGGAGGAGGCGGATGAGTAGCCACTGTAATGTTCACCAACGAGCCAACACACCAGGAGCAAAGGGAAGACCAAGGGGCAGTCCTCAGCGCGGCACAGTGTGCTCACTGACCAACTTCAGCCGAGAGATGATTGAGCCTGGGCACACTTCCAGGCCATGCCTGCACCCTGTCCTTGAGCAAGTCCACTGGCACACACACAAAGCACAGCTTGAACGTCCTCAGAAGCAGCCAGTTTTTCGCCTTTAATAGGTGCTAAATCTAGTCAATGCTCTGTTGCTCCCTTCTTCCTGCCCCAAGTTAAAAATATTGCCCTGTAAGTTTTCCTGATTTAGTGTCTTGGAAGCACATGGTTTAGTTAGTTGCCAAAGGGCAATTAACAAGGGTATTGCCTAATTAAACAGGGGAAAAGAAAAATCACTGTGGTCTACGGTCCCTGGAGAGAGGGAGAAGCAGCATCGGGCTCTGTGTGAGGAGCTGGTGTGCAATGTTCTTGGGGCCAGGCTGTCCCCAAATGGAGAAAAGCGGCCAGGCTGTGTGCTGTCACTGCAGTGGTTTCCTGCTGCACAGCTGCTCCACGTGGCCAGCAGAGCCCAGGGACAGCACTGGGTACGTTGATGCTGAAGTAGGCAGATGCCCTGGGCTGGGCCCCACGCAGAACATGCAAGAGTGGAGTTAGTGAAATAGTCCCTTCAAATTCCATTTCGTTTCCCTTAAAAATAAAACAAAACCCCAAAGCCCATACTTTAAAAAAAAGACAGAACTTGAAATGACGTTAAAGAATTTAAATCCCCCTCCCCTCAGAGCCAATTGTACTCAGGGTTCCCCACCCCCACCCTGCATTTCCTTAGTGAAGGTCCTTTTGGCTTTGATGGAAGCAGCAGAAACAGAGCTGGGTCCCTCGCAGTGGGAAATTTATTTCCCCCAAGTTGGAGCCACAGGGAGTGTAAGAGGTACTGTGGTTCCACTATCCATGCTTGGTCCCAGCTCCTTTGAACAGCTATTCCAGGAGGTCCTGAAAAAGAAGTCATATTATTGACAGATTACTGACAGATTAAAAAGTTTCTATTCTGAAGGCAATTATCCAGTTTCTGGGTTGGTTGAATCCTACAGTCATTAAGGTGCTGCTCCTACTTATACCCTCTTTTGCCCAAATGATAGACTGGTCATGAGTAGATGAATCATTTTAGGCAATTCCTCAAGAAGAAATGGCCTCACCTCATCTGAGTCGTCATGATAACCACTTTTATTAGCATGAGAGGTTGTGTCCAAAGCATCCACACCATCAGCCTCTGCGTGCTGCTGTAGCACTGAGTACCTGTGCACAAGGAACCTGTGGGTGGAAACCTTTGTTAGTCACACGTGGGGAGCAGCGGTGCTCTATCTTATAGGACTGTGGATTTTTCCAGTTTTGTACACTCATGGAGTGAGCTGCACATATAGGCAGCACAGCCCTCTGGTGACAC